AATTAAAAAAAAAAAAAAAAAGGGAGTAGCAACAAAAGATCCTGGAAAGTAGAGTCTAGTAAGCTTGGTGTTCTACCCTGGAAAATTCTAGAATGAATTCACTAAGCAGCTATTTAGTTAGACTAGTTAATAATACAGTAAGTTGAATTCATATCTGGTTGGTCCTGGAATACCAGTATAACTGGTCGAAGGCACACTAACTCCCTATCTTCCTGGACATTCTGCCAGTACTTTAGATTAAAATTTAAAAACATACTTCCATGAATGGCAGGGCCCTGAGATGAAAAATATATTACATGACCTGAAAAGAATTCAAAGTGATCTCCAGATTTAATATATAAGCTAAAATCAGTGCACTGAACATTTAATGGGACTAAAACAGAAAGCTCAAGATTTCGAGAAGCTTTCCGAGAAGGGAGGCCAGGATGGTGGAAACCGTGGTCATTTGGAACAGAGGGAGAGGGTCAAGGGGAGCTAGGTTAGCTGTCAATGGTATAGGAAGATCTGTACGTGGAAGAGGGATAATCCATTCTGTGCATCTGAGGGTAGAACCAGTCCCAGGGCGCTCTTCATAGCACTCATTGCTCATGAAATTGGTTGGCTTGCCTACCCTTCTCCACTAGGAGATCAAGTTCCACGTCTGCCCTGTTCACCACTGCACCTCAGCCAGTCACACAGGCCACATTGGGGAACTATTAATCGGATAAGTGTCCATGTCAGTGCAGCTATTATTGGTTCCCAGTCCTCCCCCGTCATTGGAATTGTTGGAATAGAAGCTGGGTTTGACAGGGATGTTCTAGTGGAGATTCCTCCCGGGGAGAAGTACCACCAGAAGGTGTCTGTTCTGATGTTAGCATTCTAAATACAGTTGAAATGGTTTTAAGTTGCTTATGCTTTTCACATCTTACAGCTTTATGTTTTCCTCCTTAACATTCTAGTAAATATAAGCCTCACTCAAGGAGAAATTTAATGTGTTAACTATTAGTACATTAGGCACAGTACAGCAATATTTAGACTCTTGCAGCAGCATTTTTTACCGAATCAACTATATTTTAATCCAAATAGCTGCTGTCCTAGGCACAGAGTGTCCAAAGTACTTCACTGTGACTAATAATTTTACACATCAAAGACGTTCCTGTTGCAGAAATGTTAATACTGATGTTGACATTTATAGAGAGACTGGATTCCATCAATAAAATGTAATTAAACAAAGTGCAAACCATTTTTATGTGGTCTTACTGTTACCATACAGGGCAAGCCTAGAAAACAAGAAATTTTATTCTGCTGGCTCAAAGAGCTGTGTGCCCAGCTAAAATAATGGTCAGATTTCATTACAATCTGTTGGGAGGTTAATATAGAAATGTTGCACTAAGTTTAAATATTTATCCAAACTGCTTGTTAATAAAATCACTTTTTCAAAAATAGCTCCTAAGTACAAAATTAACCTGACAGAAGTGTTTCAGTGGGTGGCACCGCAGAGGAGCCCGACCAGATGGTGGAAAGGTTTCTTATCTTATTTTGGGTGTGGTTACAAGAGTGTACAATGGTCAGACTCACAGAACTAACACTGCAGAGCTGTGTGTTTTATTGCATTTAATTTCTACCTCAGTGTTTAAAAAGTGAACAGTAACAACAGATCAGATCCTGAACCTGCTTTTTGAATTTCCTTGCTTGTATATTTGAGAATTACTGTATGTTGGTGGTTTGTGACCCCAAATCTTGATAGCAAGCATATGTTAAGGAACAGATTCACACTGCTGATTTTCTCATTTGTTTTTATGGTAAAGGTTTGTTGTTTTGGTGTGTGTGTTTTTTTTCTTTTCTAAACAGGTCAGATAGAGAGGATGCATTATAATGAAATGAGATTTAGGAAAGTTTATACTCTTTGTCCAAGTTTTATTGTAGTGAGCATTCCTGGGAATAGTTTTAATCTTTTAAGTATATATCTTTGCCTTCATTTTTATTAATTTGGTCATATACATTGTGAAGCAGATCATCTGTTTTGACTAAAATAGTGAAGCGCTTTCTAATACCAGGACATAATTGCTATATCGCCAGGGCCAGTAAGCTTGGAGGAAGAGAGGGAAAGCCTTGCCTGTTTGTCTGCCAGGTTTTCTAATTGATACCAGCCCTGGCTGTGGGCTGGTGGAGAAAGTGTGAAGTATCTGTTCCATCTCCTCTTGAGCTGTCTCAGTTTCTGAAGCGAAGACCAGGTTCAACATGAGTTAAAAATACAGCCCACCTGCTTCTCCCTTCGTTTCCTCTGTGATGGCTATAGCGTGACATTTGGTTTCTTCTCTGTATATTTTATGAAATCATTGGCAAACTAAGGAGTGATGGGGCTGCTAGATAAGCTCCATTTTACCAGATGTCTTCTAAACAGACAGAACACTCAGCTGATTGATTTTTGTTTGCTTTTTATAGAGTTGTTTACGCACGCCACAGAGGACATTAGGATCACAGACTAAGCTAATTTCGTGTTTTAAATACGATGCTTAATTGACATATTCTCCATTTTAAAAAAAGACAGCAAGTGGTAAAAGAAATAAATTAGATTATGAGTGAATATTGGGTCTCTGGTTTACCAAGTCCTCTAATTGGGCCCTTCACTTAGGATTTCTGTTTTTCAGCTATTATTTCAATTGTCTGGAGGAAATCATTGTCCTGCAGATCTTAATTTAGATTGTGGAGATGATGAATCCCAATAAATACAGAACAATAGCAGCTTATTTGAAGGCTTCGGTTGCAGTTTTGTGTAGTACATCACATAACACCAAGCACACTTAGGCATGTGATCTTGTTTTTAGTCAGCAAATCAAACACTATAATTATGTTCAGTGTGATTATTTTTTATTTTACTGCTGTCTGTTTTATGTATCATTTTTTGTATTTTTATTACAGCTGTTTCACTCAATTCAGAGAACCTGTTTGGACTTGTCTAAAGCAATTGTACTCTATCAAAAGAGAATATGTTGTAAGTATACCATAAGTATGAATATTAATCTGTTAGACAGTACAGAATAGGATATTTTGCCTTACTGTATCATCACATGTGTTTAGGAAGCAAGGGAGATAAACTACTAGTGAGGAGGGTCTGTCTTTGCTCTGTAAGTGGTGGGGAGGAGGGTCTTTAATAATTTTATCAGAAATCCTTTACATAGGCTGTTTACCTTTCAATATAAGTACCATAATAGAAAAATTGTGTATTGGGTCTCCCATGATTTAAGTACATGCCATTTATCTTTCTAATCATAAAAAAGTTTTCTCAGTATTTTATACTTTGAGGGTTTTTTTAATTTGGGGATTTTAAAAATTGCCCTGGCTCTCTTATTTCTAATTTTGTTCTTTTTAAAATAACCAAATGGAGAGAGAAGGCACATACTGTTAATTCATTGACAGTGTTTCATTGGCAGCGCTTCCTCATCAACATTTTTATGTTGGATGTTGGGTTATTAGGGAACAAGACTTTTCCTCTGGTGATCCCATCTTAACATCGTTACCAACAAAGTCATCTCTGAAATGCTAAATATCAAGTTGTACTTTAGTATGTTTTCATATTTCCATTTGTAGGTGATTTGATATACAATTTCTGTGTTTCTGAGACTAAATGGGAAGTTTTTCTGTGTTTAACTGCTGCCAAACCCCTTTCCAATAATCTCAAATTAACAGCTGGTCATTGTCCTTCATTAGTAAACTTTTATCAAGGCTATTTGGGGATAAGTACAAAGTCCCGGGACTTAGAGGCAGAATTCCGTAAATGATCTGTTTTAGTAAGTGCTGGAGTGAAGACTCCTCCTGGGCTGTAATGCCAGTCTTGAACAGTGAAGAAATCAAGACAGATGACACCCCCACTGCCACCATTTCTCTATCCCACATTCAGTCAGTCTCAATTACAGGTCCATTTTGTCACCTAAGTAGCTTTCGGGTTCTCCTTCCTCTCTCCACCTTCAGTGCCACCGTCTTAGTTCAAGCCACCATCACTCTCTCAAGTTTGCTGCGTCTGCCTCCTAACTGATTTCCCTGCCTCCAGTTGTGCTTCCTCCAGTCCCTTATCTCCACTGCAGTCACAGAGCAATGAGGTCACCCTCCCAGAGTTCCCAGTCTGAGCAACAAAATAAATAATGACTGTGTTGGATTATAACCCATAAAGTAAAATAAATATCCATAAAGTCTATATGGAAATAAACAAACAAGGAGGAGAGACAGCTCCTCCTTATAAAATAACTCCAGTTAATAAATATAGAAAGAATGAAGGAGCCACAAAATCATCACGAGGCAAACACGACAGTGAGAATTGTGGTAGTTAGGATGCAATGGAAGATACTATAATTCCTGAATGGAAGTTTGAGAAGAAATTGGATATTTGCATAGTCTCAGGTATTCCCCACCCCCACCCCCACCCCCAAGACTTTTAATAATTACAAAAGGGAAAAAATCATAATTTTACAGTAGAGAAACCCAGTAGACAGCACCTGAAGAAGGGATCGAGGTGAGCGTCACCAGTGAAATGTGTGTTGATATCATACAACCCAGATACCATATACTGCACCTGTGTGGCTGCTTTCCCTAAAATCGGTAACCCCAGTCTAATAGTGAAAAGTCAGACAAACCCATATTGAGGGAAATTCTACAGAATACCAGACAGGTACTCTTAAGGGCATCAAGGTCATGAAAGACAAGAAAGGCAGAGAACTGTCCCAGATTGAAGGAGACTGAGGAGATGACAGCTCAGTGCACTGTGGGATCCTGGATAGGATCCTGGAACAGAAAAACAACATTAACATTAGTAAAATTCCAGTGCGGTCATGGTTTAGCCTGTAGTGTTGTAGCAGCGTTCATTTCCTAGTCGTGATCAGTGTGCCATGGTGTTGTGTCAGATGCTAACATTAGAGGAAGCTGACGAAGGATATGCAAGAACTCTGAATTCCAGTTACAGTTTTTCTATAAGCCTAAATTATTTCAAAATTAAAAGTCTTTTAAAAAGTGCACATTGGAACCTATTGCTTCTCTGCCAAAAAACCTCCAGTGGCACTTATAATAAGATCCAAACTTCCACACCCTGGCTTATAAATACCTACATGATCAGGCCCAGCTCACCCCTCCAGCCCCTTTGACCTTACCCATCATGTGACCTGAGGCCTTTTGTACTCACTGGTTCCTGCCCTAATTGCCTCAAGAGTGGCCCCTCCTTGTCATTCAGAGCTCAACTTCATGGTCCCCTACTCAGAGATACCTTCCTTGACCACCAGTACAAAGCAGCTACTGATCTCTCTTAATCTCTCTGGTACTGAGTTTGTGATTCTGTATTTTCCAATTTTCTACCTCCTGCTGCTTGAATGTAAATTTCACCAGAGCAGGCACCTTGTATGTGTTGTTCATTTCTCTAAGATCATCCATAAATTAATTCACTCTGTGCTGAGTGAATTCATGCTGCCAAGCTAATTGCTTTTATAGTTCTTCAGTTGCCTTTTTAGAGCACATCTGAAAATCTAATCAGCAATTAAATATAAATAGGTTTTTATTTGTCTCTGAATTTTTTTAACCCCAGTAGAGTGAAAAATTATAAGCTTTTGAGTCATGTATTACCTTAGAAGAATTTTAAATGCCTGTACATTAATTTTAGTATTTGAATTTTTAAAGTTAGCATTAAGGAATGAACATCTCAGAAAATGATGGCCATTACTAAGTAATCCAACCTGGAGCCTGATGCAGCTCAAACTTTTTCCATTGCCCTCTGGAGCAGCTCTGCCAATTAGAATCTAGCTCTCAAAATGAAACCTGTCTAGCACCCCAAGATCAATCCCCCAGTGCACAAAGTAACCAAAAATGATTTTTCAAATACTTCTACCTACTTAGGTTTATTTAGGGAAGTGTACATTTCACCAATCATGTAATCATCCAGGTTCCATGAATTGGTTCCTTCCTAGCCTTAAGCTAAATATGTTCATTTGTATGTGACTTGAGCCTTCAAGGTAAAAAAAAAAAAAAAAAGTTACAGTAGCCTCATGCTATTATGAACAAAAATGTGAAACTGCTCTCCATGTGGAAAGAGTCATTGTGAAATTATGAGTCTTACACTGGAAAGTGAAGAGAAGAAGGAATAAAACGTATTTAAAAATTTTTTTTATCATCATTGGAATTTTTTTAAAGCTACATAGAACCATGGCAAAAATATCAAATAAACGTTTAAACAAAATGTAAAGGGATAACAAGGGGGAAATTATAGTTAATTCAATGTCACAAGCATTTACCTGGGAAATCCATAGTTTGCATGAGGTCCCTGTCCTGAGAAAGCTTGGAGTCTCATGGGAAATAGACATACACCCACCTACCAACACTCGAACACCAGGTGCCAAGGGGGCATCGCTCTCCTAGAGAAACAGGGACCAACTGCTTCCCAGAGGCAGTAGCCGTTGAGCTGGACTTTGACCAATGAACTTGATTTGGGGAGAGAAGAGGAAGGAAGGAGGTAGTCAATCATCTCTCAGGAAGAACGGGCCCTAAAAGCCTCTCCTCTGGAGTGTGTAGAGGGAACCACAGTCACAAACTAATGAGGGAGCCGTGGAGAGCTTAACCTTCGCCTTTGGATTTGCGGGTCCTGGCTGACATTCCACAGCCATTGTTGGGGAGGTTGTGCTGGGAACGGGGTGCGTTCTTAAAGAAATCTGGGTGGTTCGTGCAAATGGGCAAGGATCCTAGTAGCATTTAAAAAGCAGTTTTAAGGACATATGATGTAAAAGCATCGGTACAGAAATGTGAAATAAGAGTAGCGGTGTTCAGAGTATGTGCGTGGCAAATGCTGTTTAAACGCAATATACTCAGGAAGCGCAGTGTTACTCCTACCTCGGCTGGGACCAGTGGCTGCGTAACAGCTCACTGCTCGTTACGTGGCGCATCGTGTTTGATTAAACCACCTCTACTGTGGGGACAAAGAGTGTTTTGCTGTTATAAATAATGATATTGTGCCTATCTTTGTCTATGTATCTTTGTGTCCATTTTACTACTTCCTTAAGGCTGTATGCCTAACAGAAGTGCGATGTCAAAAGAGACACTTATATTTACTGCCCAATCAATCTGTAGAAAGCTTGTACCAGTCACTAGCTCACCAATAGTGTCATCTGAGGTTATCTTTAAAGATAAGGACCAATAGAAATAGTGAATCATTATGTTGTATACCTGAAACTAATAGAATGTTGTATGTGAATTATACATCAACTAAAAATAAAATAAGACCAAGATTAGGCATAACCAATTCAGATTTGGTTCCAGCTCTGCATTTAAAAAATCCACCAAGTCATCAACCTACCCACCCTCGCTCTTCATCCCCACCACCAACCAAAAACTTGGGTCATGGATAAGGTGTTTGAATTGCTTTACAATCCAGTAGAATGTAACTCAGAAAGTAGAGATCAAAAAGTCAGCAAGAGAGAAAAACAGAAGGGAACCGACTCTCCATTGTAGGCCGCCACCAAAGATTCCCACAGTCATACTTGACAAACTCAACTTTTTCATTTCAGCTCGAAGCAGCACATTATCGGCTCGCTTTTCAGTACAAGAGGTCATTTTCTGGTTCCGATTACAGGGCACCAAACGCACTGACAGATGTATTCAAGTGAATTTGATCTCTTGGTTTTTGTAAATGGAAGAACAGCATGAAAGTCGAATGGACGGGGTGGGGAGTTTACCTTGTAGCCTGTGCTTGGGATTTAATTTCATCTCATCTTTGACTCTAGAGGAGAGAAGACCTTGGGATTTGTCTCTCTCCTCCTCTCTGTAATAAAAATGCTCATTGTTCATGGCTCCTTTTGGTCTTTTCTTCACCAGTCTTGTCTCAAGAAGAAAATGAACTGGGGAAATTTCTCCGATCCCAAGGCTTCCAAGATAAAACCAGAGCAGGAAAGATGATGCAAGCGACAGGAAAGGCCCTCTGCTTTTCTTCCCAGCAAAGGTGTGTGGGCTTCCTTGGGGCTGTATTTGGGGGACCTGCTGAGAACGTGGGACCCAGTTACAAAGGGGAATTGCCCAGCATTTTTCAGAAGGCTCTTGCCTGAGACCGACAAGTTATTCTGTTCTCAGTTGTTAGTCTGTTTTTGTTCTCTGATTAAGATAACAGGTATAATTTTTTCCCCCCTCCCCTTTCAAATTTTTTTTTTTTTAAATTCTCCCTCGTATTTCTTCTGGTCTATAAGGGGGCATTTTATATCCCAATTGCTGAGTGCTGTCCTAGGCTTATATCTGACCTTGAGCATATTGCTCCTAGCAGTCAGTCTGGTCCCCTTCCAGCAGCTGATCAAAGCAGGAGCCTAATGAGACCAGGTAGAAGGGTTCCTTCTCTGCTCTCGGTGGACCAATTAACTTTAGAGCAGTGTTGTTCAAGAGGCCCTGAACCGTTCTGCTCAGACCCTGGACAGCACTATCAGCAGTCCCACCTGGGAGCCTGTTAGACACGCAAACTCTAGGCCCCGATGCAGAACTGCTGAGTCCCAATCTGCATTTCAACGAGATGCACATTCAGGTTTGAGAAGCTCTGGTGCAGAGGAAATTGTGCTAGGTCAGTGACTTCTTTTTTTAACACCACCATGACTCATTTTTATGGTCTGTGTAGAACAAGCAGGAGCCCCTGCATAAGTTGCCCTTTGTGTTTGAGAAATCGACACCCTCTCCTCCTCCTTCCCCAGTAACTAACTGACAGGCCTCCAAAAATGTCACTCTCTCTCATTAGGCAGGATTATAACTACATAAGGCTTAGAGGTAGTTTCCAAAAATATTCAGGCTACAAAAATTTCACTTACGCAGATCGTCCAACATTTTCTTCTGTGAATTTCTCCTTACTGCTTTCTCTCTCCCTGTGGGCCAAGAGCAGATCTATCACAAGTGTCCCTCTGAAAACCAAGGAAGGTGTGATCAAAAAGAGACCAACCGTGGCCGTTTTTCAGTGGTCCAGCTCCTGGGCACTTTGATTTTTCCTAATGACATTTGGACCCTGACCTTGTGGGCAACGCCAACTTTCCTAGTTGAATGAAACCATTTCTAATAGTGCTCTACCCCAGTTTTCCAAGAAAAGTGTTTCCTTATAATCTTGAATTGCACCTTTTAATCTTATTATAACTGTTTTTCCTTATAAAAATAATACTTATTCATTCTAGAAAAATTTAAAAAGAGAAGGACCAAAAGGGCAAAATTTAGAAAACAACTAAAATTTTAATAGAGATGACCCACTTTTAACCCCTTGATACTTTGTCATACACGCTTTCCTCAGCCTTACAAGGATAATTGATTCTTGAAAATTTTTTCATAAATTCTCATATGTTAACCATACAATTATTAATAATCTCAGGGAGAAAATTCTTATGTAGACCTGCATGCCAAAATTAACATCCATTTATGGGAAACAAAACTAAATCCTTGGACTCGTCACTACAAAAGCTGCTGTTACTGATCGCATGGTTATTTTATAATATGGCTATCCAGTGACACCCTTTAATACTTGTATACCAAATTATCTCACACAGCACACATTTGTTACCTTAAGTTTACATAATCCAACTTTGAGATACAGATAAAAACAGCCAAAGAAATCAACCAAAACTATGCAAATGATACGTGGAAGTATCACTATTACAAACTAGCAATCTGCCCCATATCCATAATTTAATGCAGCTTGGACAACTTTGCGATTTGAAGGTGGTGTCCTGCAGGATGGCTCTGGTTTCATGGAACTCAGCTGCTTACCAGGCACATGACATCCAAACCAGTCCTCCTAAACTTGAAGAAGTTGGAGGATTACTTGAGACTCTGAGGTAGTTGAATTCTCAGACCTTGAATGGACAATAATTTGGGATGTGCCAGAATTTGTTTTTAACATAAACAACATCGTACCATACAATTTTTGTGTAGTATTGCATACTGATTATTTAGCAAATTGACTTTTCTGATCAAATAACACTAACCACCTTTTTATGTCCATATATACTTTTTTTTTCAGAAAAAAACATCCATAGCGTAGTATTCCATTGTCTATCTAATCATTCCATAATACACTTCACCTGGGCCCTTCTGTGCGTACCTGGGTCACTTCCACCTTTGCCTGCTGAAGGATAAATGTCTTTGGAGTTGACCTTTTGGTTCTTTGTTAATTATTCCCATTGGGTAGATTTTCATGAATGAAAACGTGGGCCAGTTTTTCACTAGAGCTTGATGGTTCCAGTTGTTGAGTTCTCCCTTGGCCTGGACTCAGTCCCCGGTACCACCAGTGAAGGGGTTTTCACCTTTCTGATTTTATATGAAGCAAGTCACAGGGGGGGAAATGAGGTGCTTTTATGTGCCTTTTTCTTCAAGACCTTAATCTCTATCATCATGTTATTACATCTTCAAAAGTTTGGGTCCAACTTTACAACGGTCAGAGAAATCAAGAATATTTTATTCACAAGACTCTTTTTCAGCCAGTTTAGGGAAAGTGACAGAATCCAAGGCAAGAGAAAAAGAGTCCAGGAATAAGTGGGATCCTTAGGGGGGACAGCTGAGGACTCTTTCTCCCTTTCAGGAGAAGGCTTCCATTTTATAAACCTTCACACAAGCATTTGTTTTACTGACTTATTGGGTAGTCATTGCTACAACTGCTCTTTCAGTGTGAGGAATGGTGAGTATTAAATTTAACCCAGTGCTGATAAAGCACAGGCTTACTTCATGGCACAACAATATGTCTTTGAAAACAACTTGCAACACCTAGGTAGGACGTGTGAGCAAGCTGTTTTTAAAGAAGTGCTGAATATTTAAATGCAGTGCTTTATAGGCAAAAGGAAAACGAAAGAAAATAGGATTTTTTTCTTAAACAGTTTATTGCTATATCCATAATCCGATAATGCTATTACATATGTAAGGCACTGTGGACACAGAACAAACTGCCAGGAGCGGATTTCGGTTCACTAACACCATTGTCCCCTCCACCTGGATAAGTTTTCATTTAAATTAAAATGTAAATATTCATCTTATTTTTATTTGTTGCATCTTTGCCCTGCAGCTTCATGCGGATGGCTGTTAATTCATCTGACATTACTCTTTGGGGTAGGAAGATGAAAGAAGCAGTATTCCCCACCCCCACCCCCTGCCCCAAATAAATATTTTATCCAAAGTTTGATATACATCAAGCATTGTATTTTTGCTGAATAAATGATGGTATGTTATGACCAATGTTATAATTATTTTGCACCCACTTCATTATATAACATACATTCATTCCTGGTGTAGTTGTATCCTTAAGTTTTGTTTTCTAGTAAGGATCAAATCGCAGAACCTACTAAAAGTGCCTAACACAGTAAACCCTCAGTGCATGCACTACTCCACCTTCCTAGATCATTTAAAAATGCTTCTGTTTGCGCTTCATTCGCTGTTGGAACGAGCAGCAGATGCCCAGCCTTTGGAGAGTAATCCAAGATGGCCTAGCCAGGGAGACACTAATCACATACAGGTCCATCCCTCCTCAGAGGGTCAGGCTTCAGAGGAGCAGCAGGCAGGGAGTGGCCAAGAGTAGACATGGGAAATGGTTATTCTGAGACCTTTCTCCGTTAACACAGGATTGGTTCCAGCTTCCAACAAGTACCCTCTGCCCAGGCATGAGGCCACCCCCAACAATACTGATGGAAATACTTCCCAATAGTACCGTTAAGTAACAGTAATCTAAGAGATCAGTACATGGCTAATCATCTCTGGTTGACTCATCCTTTCACGTACATTTCAGTTATAATTCATCAAGAATTTCCACAGCATTGGCTATGTTCAAGGCACTGCCTAGGCTCGTGAATTTAAGATTGGTAAATTGTCGAGGACTCAGATGTCTAGCCCGTTTGGTTTTAAGACTGTGGCTTTATCCTCGGTGTAGGTTGGCCTTGCGGAATCCTTTGTGTCGATTTCACCAAGAAGTGGAGACTTTTCGGCATCGGGCCATCTCGGACACGTGGCTGACGGTGAACCGAATGGAGCAGTGCCGGACTGAATACAGAGGGGCATTATTATGGATGAAGGACGTGTCACAGGAGCTTGATCCAGACCTCTACAAGCAGATGGAGAAGTTCAGGAAGGTAGGAGGTTTTATGAGGGTTACCAAAAGGGGGTACCTGCTGGAAGGTAATGAGGTGTGATTTGAATCCTTTGAGTGACGAAGACAGAACTCAAAAGCACCAAGGATGCAATTAATCATCCCTGGTGTCTTTTTATGTGACAGAATACCAATTAATGTGATATATAATTCTCTAAGGATACGAGTGAAGAGACAGCTGGAAACTGCTGGGACTGACTTACTGGTTCTAATTGAAGTCAGGTTTTCATATAATGTGCACTTTTTGGAAGGTTGTCACTTTTAAAGGCTTTTTCATGCACAACTAAAAATTAGATCAAATGAAACTGGAAGGTGAGAACAGACTATTGTGGAAATCCTTTTTAATTACTAATGAATATTAAATTAACAGATTAATAATGCTCCCTTTGTTTTGTGAATTGGTTCAGAAGCATTAGGGTTTAGTTGTAGGATTAAATAATATGGCATTGACTCCATCTGTAATAGACCCCTTCAGAAATTTGTCTGAGGAAAATATATAGCTGAGGAGATGGGTATGTCCCTAAACTTCCCTGAGATAACTAGTGAGCAGCAGAGAACACTGTCCCTTGGTTTTTTAATTATCTTGTGTCCCTTTAGCGGTTTGGAGATCTGTTCAAACAAGGATACATCCCACCAGTAGGTGGCAGTCATGCACTGAGTATTTGTGAAAATGCAGAGAGATTTTTTTTGTTGTGTACATAGTCGGGTTCTTTGTTTGGTTGTCTTAGATATATTTCTGGGTGTGAAAAAAAAAAAGCAAATGTTAGATTCGACATAATATTGTATCGACTGTCTTCTTACTCATTTCAAATGATTCAATGATATTGCTTAAAATCCCTAGGTTTCCTTTTCTGCACATCATTGCAGAGCTGTGAATGGGAAGCCCCACTGGTCCTCAGGAGGTTAGATGTATGGGGTGTGTTGGATGTGTTAGGTGGGGGATGTGTGGAGGGAGGGGACAGAGGGATCTTCTGTTGCTTAAGAATAAGGTCACCAATTCTTGACCTAGGTATTAAAATTCTTTTAAAAGTCAAGTCTTATTCTGGTTTGTAATTGAGAATCTCTCTCTGAAGGAAATCAGAGTCATTTTATATCTGATCACAGATGACCTTAGTGTGTTAACAGCGTCTAACTTCTTGGCAAGGCAGGCTTTTGAGCTCATGGAAAATCAGAACTGAAAAGCCCTTTAAAAATGAGCTAGAGAAACTCACTCATTCTATGAGAGAGAAAAGCAAGGACCCAGAGTAGTAAATAAAACTTTCCAAGAGTTGATAGCTGGGTATTGGCAAGCCCAGGCTACTTTTGAGATTTCCTGACTTTCGTATCAGGCTAGTAGTTGGGTTTGTCTTTGACACTTTATTTGGGGGTTAAAGGAGGGTGGGAGATGGAGTGGAGAGGTTGAAAAAAGAAAAAGGGGGGAAACCTCAACATTACTTGCAGGGCGTAGTGCCGGTCACTTTAGATCCACTCCATCCTTTAAATTTCGTAGTAACCAAGACCCAGGTTTCATTTATATGTGAAGAAAATGGTATCTATTTTAAGGGTCCTACAAGGAAGTGAAAGTCAGAATCCTAGAAAATTATGCATAATATTTTCCCTAAGAGGAAAAACGGGGACGTTGAAGAACATACATAAAATTTAAAAGGGCATTTTCATTGTAATACCTCTCCTGTGATTTATTCATTCAACAAACATTTATTGAGCACCTGCTATGTGCCAGATAATAAAAGTAAACGTATGATTATTCTGGAAGGCCGGAGAATTTCATGTGGAATGGTGTTTATTTGGTTTTGTTTTGGAAGGTGGTTACTAGCTGTGTAAGGGTGAAATGAAAACCAAGCCCTTCGTCATTTGGTTTGAATGTTGAAACATTAACCACTCTTTAGTGTGATCAGTCTGTTGATTTTGGAAAATATGGTTGAAAAAAATTCTTTGCCTTAAAGAAGTAGCTGAAGCGATGCCTTACCCCAGTCCCATGTGTACTGGATTTAATTTAATAGCAGAACATGGTGTACTTAGAATTTAGGGAAAGAATTTTTTAAGAAGTCAAATGCGGGTATGTACTTGACAAGGCTGGACTTTCCACGGGGACAGGGACTGGAATGGTTCTCTTTACTGCCATAACTCCAGGGCCAGCCCTGCACCAGTTTCCAAGTTAGTATCCATATTGATGGCCAGATTCCAGCCATTGAGTTCGAAATGCCAGAAGCATGTTTTCACCAACCTCTAGAGCATTCCCACCACATGCAACTGACCTTAAGATGTTTTGGAAATGGACATGTGTGGTTTTGCAGGTAAGAAGTAGCATTCTTAATGTGTGGCCTGCCGCCCTCTTTGGAATGAATTTAAACTGTGGCGTTTGCTCTTCGTTTGGAGTTCATAACATGAAATTTAACTTTGAGCAAGCTTTCGTGTTTTGTCCCAGTTAGGATTCCTTGTTAAAGAAGCTCTCCTTTGACCTTTCGGGAAAGTATTCATTCTGAGCCCTCTGGGTGAGAGGTCAAGCTGCGGGTGGCTCCATAGGTGACACTGTGGGGTGGAGAATTTCAGCTTCCCCAGACTTTCCTCCTGCCACTGTCCCATTTCAACTGGTGAATCTTGAACTGAAGTAGTATTTTGCTATAAATTCTGTTCTTTGAATTCTGAGGAGACAGAATTCTAATTCATACCTCACAAATGGGACCCCCTGATTATAGTCTTAGTATACATTCATTCGTTTATTCATTCATTCATCCAACCAATGATATTGAAGCCCCACTGTGCGCTAGGCCACACATAGGATATAATAGTGAATAGACGGGCATGATCACTGCTCTCCCATCATGTGCAGTCACTTAGGGGTAGAGCAGGTAAGCACGGTGCAGTCCCAGGTAGCAAACCAGGGGCTGCCTGCAGGAAGCGGCATCTGCCCAAGATGTGAAGGGTGAGTGGGAAGGAGCTAGGTGGAGGGAGTAGGGAGAGCATAACAGAGTTCCAGGCTGAGGAAGCTACTTAAATAAAAGCCTTTAGGTGAAAGCACTTCTAAGGACCAGAGCCCAGAAGGCACAGTGGGTGCAGGAATGGTGGTGCCCAGACTGAGGGACTGAAAAAGTCAGCACAGCCAAACCAGAAGGGACTCCTCCCAGAGGGCTGAGAAGGAATGGCAAGGTTTGAGAAGGGGAGGGGCATGATTAAACCAGTATTCTCAATAGCTCACTCAGATTTTTAAAAAAATTAATCTTAGAGCCCGGCCGGGCGTGGCTCAGCAGTTGAGCATCGACCTAGGATCCAGGCGATCAGGGTTCGATTCCCCATCAGGGCACATGCCCGGGTTGCGGGGCTGCAGCCGATCGATGACTGACTCATCGTTGATGTTTCTATCCCTCTCTCTCCCTCTCCTTTCCTCTCTCTGAAATCAATAAAAGATATATTTAAAAAAAAAAATTAATCTTAGAGAGAGGAAGGAAGGAGAGAGAGAGAGAAACATCGATTGGCTGCCTCCCACAAGCACCCAGACTGGGAATCAAACTCACAACCTGGGTATGGGCCCTCACCAGGAATCAAACCCGCCACCCTTTGGTGTATAAGACGATGCACCAACCAACTGAGCCACTCCAGCCAGGGGTTTCTCACTTAGATTTTAATGTGGAGAAGGATTGGAAGGACCAAGCCTTGAGTCTGGGAGCGCTGCTAGGAGGTTTGTGTATGAACCCAGATAAGACATGGGGTGCCCGTGGAATGAAGAGGGCAGTAGCCCAAGAAATACCCTTTTCTGACCTTTCCCAGACTCCGTCATGGCACCACTTTAATTACAGAGCTCTTCATTCTTTTTAGATACCAGCAAAATAAGTGTAAATAAATAAATAGCCAGATCAAGTGTACTTTCATGTCTAACCAAGGCTGTTTCCATAGTGTTTTCCAAATGCTGAGAGACTTTTTTAATAACACAGTAAGCATGACGGAAATGATGAATGAAAACCTTAAAATCAAACGAAGTAAATAATCTGTCTCCATCCTGGCCCCCTTTGAAGCACACAGGCCAGATGACAGAGCTCTCAGCAGCAACTTTAGTAAGCATTTACTGAGTGCCTATATTTGGGGATGGAAATACAAAGAGGTGGGAGAGCTTGATCCCAGCGCTCAAGAAGGACCCTGCTAGTCATCTGTTCCTTGTCAAAATTGCTGTGATAAACAAGACACCTGGAGAGTGGCCATATGCAACTCTTCTCCTAAAGACCAGATAGTAGGAAATAGTAGATGAATTTGAGTGGGTGGGGCTGGGCGGCTGGGTGCCTTCGGAAGCCCCTCCTGACAGCGTGACTCACCC